AGAGCTATTTGAGCAAGGATTTGCCTCTGCTATTCGATTTAGTGAAGTGAGAGCCCGCTGTAGTTTTACTTTATTGAATGCTGTAGATCTTTCTCATCACCTAATTCATTTTTACAGGCAGACATTCACCAACTCAATCCACTTAGGAATATAAAGACATTCCTGAGAAGACTATACTACCAGCACATCACAGCCACTGTTTAGTACTGTAGACTTTACTCATTCTCTGTCTGCTTAAAATCAAGCTTAAGTAGCACCCTGTTAGCTTTTTCCTCATTCACTGAAAATTATTGGATTTACATGTCAAGATGATGCCTGCATCAGTTTTTTTCTCCCACATGTTGTTTTCTCAAGCTATGCCAGCCTAGTGTGAGGAAAAAATATAACTATTTGTACAAGAAAGCAATCATTTAAGTATGTTTTGTCCTCATAAGAACTCTAATAAGGGAAATAAAATAACTGCAACAGCTGCCTTTACTAACTACAGCCATCAGCTGGGTGAAAAAAGGTATTCAAAAGAAGTTTTTTCTTTTTACTTGAGCTTAAACAAGATACTGAGTATCTGAGATTTTGCTATCATTCTGCCTTTCCCAGATAGGCTGCTTAATCTGTAATAAGATACAACAATCCTTTTTGACTCCCTTCTAAAATGGAAATACACCAATATGGCACAATTAACTGGAGGTATTCAGTTATGAGACAGAATGAATTGTATTAAAAGTATCCAGTGGGAAATATCTTGGTAATGGAAGGGAGTTTATTATTTATGATTTCATTGGTTCCTGGTTTGTTCCTTATCTGAAATTGTGCATCTTTGTCACATCAACTGTTTTTAGGAAAAATAGTAACTTTAGTACTAAGATACACTATAACAGTTGGCATTTGGCACTTAAAAAAAAAAAATCTTTCCTTAGATGCCAGCAAAAAAAAAGATGAATACAGGCAAATGGATAACATGAAACTAGAATCATTTCTGAAGCATGAGTAAGGACATCACTTTTCTAAGAAAGTAAAGAATAAGTAGAGATGTTATCTAAATTGATTCTGAAGGAGCAGATTCATTTAACTCCATGCCTCGAGGTGCTATCAGGAAAACATGTAGAAATCATAGATGTATGGTAAGAAAAAAAATACTGCAAATCTTTAATCTTATTGTAATGCTGCAGGCCTAATAATATCAAGCACTAACTTGCTGAGGGGTAAAAATGCAATTGAGAACATTGTATCTTAAGTGACATATTTTAGAATCATACAATATCACTGAATCTAACTCCTGACTCCTCACAGTCCTAAGAGGACCTCACCACCTGCTCAAATACAGAAAATTAAAGTATTTTTCTTATTCAAAAGTCGTCTCCTTACTTTTATACCATGTTTTCAACACATCTGTTGGGCTCATTAGTAAGAGTCTCATTAAAATCTCATTAGACTTTGTTAGTTATCTGCTTCTAATCACATGACTTCTAAGTGTTTACAAGAGTGTTTATTAGGGTTTACAGCTTCAACCACATTCCACAGAGATCAAAAGGAGCCTTTCATCAAGGTATGAGGACATCAAGCCTCTCTGTGATCTTAAGTAGCTATATCCCATCCTTGAGCTTAGAGACCTTGATCCTAGAGATCAGACTCCATTTTTGCATGTACTTAGGCTGTCATTTTCTGTGATCTACCTTTCAGCAAAAACTTGAACTTTCATTGTCTCTCCAAAGACAAGCATCTTGATTCAGAACCAATTATGAGGTAAAAGATTTCCAGATTATAAGGACAGACAATAATATTTTGAGCATGTAGTCTGACCTCCAGCCTGACCCATGCTGCAGTAGTTCCCTAAGAAAGTATTGAGTTACTAAATAAACTGAAATGATTGTCTTGTTGAAGTCTGTGTTGAAATTTATACTTGCCTTGGCTTTTTGGTTTGGCTACTGTTGTTTACAGTCTCTCATACACTAAGACAAACACTGCAACAAGACTGCAAATTGTCTTTTAAAATCTTCTGTTGTATATTTTACCAATAAATATTTTAACAGCAGTCCCTGCAAACAGCGCAGCTTGCACACCAACACCATTCAAATATTACTCTCAAATCTGCTGCCGAGACTATGAAAAAAAATCCTAATTCCACAATTTTTGTGCTTTGATGGTAATACAGTTTTGTACTGATTGCTCCACATTAGGAGAATTTTAAACATTTTAAACACCTCGAAATTCCAAATCCCTAGAAAAGCAATTCAAATGAAACTCCTAATTGGTCTGCAGTAAGTGTAAGGGTATAGCCAAAAACCTGCCTCCATGTGCAACATTAAGTGGAAATTTTAGTGTGCCACTAGCACTGGAAGCAGAGACAAGACTGATGAGTTGAAACAGTCATTAAAACAAACAAGCAAGCAACAAACACTGAATAATCTGATGCCAGTGTTCAAGTTATAATTTAACAAGCACAGATGCTGAGTTATATTATTGTTTGCTTTTCATATACTTTACAAATTATTTTGCATTTTTGTATTAGTACAAACTAGGCAGAAGCTCTCTCTGTTATATTAGATGATATGCACCTTAGGGGAGCTTCCTCCTCCCCTATCTGTTGACTGTTCTTTTAATCACAAGTTTGTTGGCAGTCCACTCAACGCTTGGGCTGGGCTAGCAAGAGACAAATCATTTCACTTCAGAAAACTATTAATCTTGGTGGCACTGTGCTTGTGTGCCATGATTTACTAAAACAAAATAATCTCATAGTGCTCAACTTAAAATTAGACACCCGTCTCACATAATGGTATACATTTACGTATATGATAAAGCAATTGAATCATGAGGATTCATTAGTAACAGAGGGAACAGTTGTACTACAAGAGATCAAATTGATGACTACTGAAATGTTTTCACTGCTGTAAAATGCACACAAATTCTTTTGGGGAAAGATAGCTGTATTAAAGTATTTAATTATAGTATTGCCAAGATCAGGTGATTTAAAATTAGGCCATCAGCCCTACATGCCATCGCATTAGTGAAAATAGAGACAAACTGTACATCAAGACCAAATAATTAAAAATCAATACGAATTTCCCTTCTCTACCAGTTCCTCACCTCAGCTGCTCTTCTAAAAAGGACATCCTCACTTTCCATTACACAGCACGGGCAGGTATTGGTGCTTTAGTCTAACTAATCTTCTAGGGGATATTGACCCATACCAGGAATAGTTTACCTTTTGGTGTAATTCAGAACTGGGCAAACTTGCAATCTGGAGGCATTTACTGATTGATGTTCTACCTGAATCTAGTGAGTTTCATATCATTAAACTATTTTATTACATGATCAGTTAGCCTTCACATTCTAAAATTCCAGAATTATGTCTATTTAAAATAAATATGGTGAATACAGAAAAAAAAAAGTGAGCTATACCTGCATTTTGTAGAAATCTACACCAGTCAAATGTTTCAACGGGAGTAGTCCTGACTCCTGTGTTGAAGAAAAGAGAAATATGACATGTTTGTTTCTTGGATGGCTGAACCATGCCTCTTAAGGTCTTGCTATAAGAAAACATATTAACATATTCCTCTCAAGCACACCTCATTTCATACACAACAATACAGGCAATGGCAAAGAGTTCGACTTCAGAGGAGCCAGCATTTCAAACCAAGGCCCATTCCAGCAAACATTTCCAGAGAAAAGGAGATAGATACATAAACATACAGGTACTAAATATATTAACTAAATAAATGGAATGCATTAGTAAATATTTCAAAACTCTCACCTTGATATTGGACATATATTTTCTGGCTAGCATCTGGCTTCAAAGAAAAGGAGAAGAAAAGTGATTTATAGTTCATCATAAAAGATCTCAGTCTTTACAAAAAAATCTAGTATAACAATATGCTCATCACTGTGACTTTCTTTTGACAAGACAGATCATTAGAAAGTAATATTTTAATAAGACTAAAAGCCAACAAAATCAAAATTTTGAATTACATTTACAACAAAAATTTACAGTGTAAAGGGATCAGTTTTGTAATTAACACGATTACCAGGTCAGTAGAAGCACGTTTTTTTAGTTTAGCTCTGTGTACTTTCTCATAATCATTAACTTGTTTATGGCACAGGAAAAGAAAAGATGTTCAACTACAGAACAGCCCGAGCTCTCAAAAACACTGGTTTTCAAATAAAAAGTACAGCTAGTTTTAGAACCACAGACACATCTATCCGTAATAGAAGTTTAAAACACATCAAGCATGAATCCAGCCCTTCTTACCTCTAACCTTTTCAAAGTCTGCTGCCAAATACACGTAAGACTTGTCTATACAGGAACATGGGCCAGGAGTAGTTACTGCAGTTATTCCCAAATAAGAACTGCACATGAAATTAGTTTAAAATAGATATAGTAAAAGTGGTAATTGCAACACTTCCAATGTTTCTCCTGAAGAGTTAGTACGCTAGTAATTTAGCATATTATTAAACAAACTAGTTCTTACTTCATTGCCTTTCTGTAACTCCAACCATGAATTTGTGGAATACGAAACTTTCTTTAAAAAAAACAAAAAACAAAAAACAAAAGAAATCTTCTCAGGATCTTTCAAAAAGGACAACAAAACAGAACAAAAACTAACAACCGAATGCACTTGCACTCTTCCCCTCCAGCAAAAAAAGCACAGTTTCTTTGAGTTCAATTGTAAACAGTCTGCATTCAGACAATTCCTACTTCTTTTAAATGCACTGGTTGCCTTAGGAGTAAGGAAGGGAATTGCTCAACTCACTCATTCTCCAACAAATTTGCTCAATATTACCTCGCAAGTTTCAGTTTGAAATCACATTCTTTCAAGCAGTTCTAATGACACTATTGCTTAGTGTACCATCTCGGAGTCCCAAAACAACCTTTGCTAGAACATCAGTCTTTGCTGACTTAGGGCTAAATGCTCTTTGCTACCATTTCACCATGGAGAGAAGCACACTCCCCCAACAGACTGACTCAGTGAGTCACAGAGGATCTGACTATTGTGCCTCTTTTTAAGGTGCTAATGGGAAAAAGAGTCCCGTATTGCCCCTCCAACCACCCTGCTTTTGAACAGTGGGAAATGGCCGACTCACAGATGATGCATTGCTGAACTCCTCAAGCTAAGAACTGCTATGCAGACTTGTCTCAGCGTGGTGGCATAATGCAGGTACAATTACATGAGGTAGAGCACAACGCTGCTGGATCACATCACTCTGCACATTAGTTTTCCCTTCTCCTCTCCCATCTCCACTCCAACCTCAGCACTGTGAAATCACATCCGAAGGATGACTTCAGGGTAGGAAGAAAAAACAAAAATTACTGCAGAAACAAACTACTAAAGCAACAAATTCCTGAACCAGTCCACTCAGGAAATAAGCCAAAGTAGTGGCGACTTTTTTTATTCTTCCACTTGAAGGCATTTTGTGAGGATTTTTTAATTCAAAATCTCTACATGACTGCCCCTACAGTTCACTGCTCGGTCATAACAGTCTATTTTAGTTATTAAAGATGTACTGGAGAAAGAAAAATAGTAAAAGAAATGGACAGAAAAGGGGTCAGGAAGAAGTGAAGAGTCATCAACAAGCAGCTCACAGATGGGAAGAGGACAGTTCCAGAGAACCAGAGAATCCAGAGTGAATCAGCCACATCACAAAAACAACGTGAGCAAGCAGGTCCAGTAATAAATGAAGTGGGAAAAATGTAATGCTGTTTATGTTACAGTAGAAGACTGAGGACATCTTTCAAAAGACAAATGAACTTTTGTGATCCAACAATTTAAAAAATAAAGAAGATGGCTTCATATGTTGTTTCATTACTTAATACTTCTTGGCTTTTTTTTTTTTTTTTTTTTTTTTTAAACTGTGAATAAGTACCATTTTAAATTAAATTGGATTTTTCAATCCAAAAAAAACTTTGCTAATGATGGAGACAGCATTGCAAGCTGAAGGACAATTAATTTTTAGGACAAGTGGAAGAGCTGAAATTCAGAGCTAGAAGTTAAGAAGCAACGAAAGAAAAAGTGGAAAGAAGGTAGATGGGGCAGGGGTCAGATTAAGCCAGCCTTGTCTCTATACCTGGCGTACTGCATAATCCTGCCTCAGACTTTGGGGCTTAAAGATAAGTTTTTTACTTCTCTAAAACTGCTACATTTCAAAAATAAGCTGAAATTAATTAATTATTTGGTTTCATGCTCTGCAAGACCCTTAATGAATATGCAGTAACTAAATATATTCCTGCCAAGGCTGGGATCATCAAGAAGAAAAGAGTAGAAATTGTGTAACACGGAGTACAGATATATTCACATGTTATAGATCAATTTTATGTTATACTCTTTATTTTAAGCGGTAGTAGGGAGAGTAGAAAAATGAAATTGAATACCAATAAAACTAGCTTAGGTAATTCTTAGGTACCAATTTTACACTATTGACATAAAACGCTGACCATAAGCACAAGATGTTTGAAAGTATTTCACACTTACTTAGAATACAGATTATTACAGAAGCTGTATTATGCAATTCATTATTAAGGATAATTTATCCAGTGTAATAGGAAAGTTGATGGAAGATACAGGCCTCGAGCACAGTGCTATTGCTTACATGTTTGCAATGTGAATTATTGGCTAATTAATAAAGCACACATTATAGGAAAAATGTATATCACATTAGGGTGAATTAATACGTAAAGAGTGGTAATATTCTGTGAGCTGTGTTATGGAAAGCTGTATTTATGCTTTTCAGTGTTTGAAATAAAATGTATGACACTTGCTCTCACCCTTTATATGAAGGTACAGATATGAGGATCAAGTCCAATTCCTGACTCCATACAAGGCAACCTAAGAATTTCTCATCACTGGTTCAACTATAGGAAATAAAAATATGTTTCTTACTGATATTTCACAAGATAAGGTGAGTTAATAGGGCAGTCCTGACCTGCTCTTTTTATCCCAGTTGCCCCTTATTGGTGGAAAACTAATAAGCATGCCAAAAAAAAAACCCAACATCTGGGCTAACGAGGCAGTGCTGCTTCATGCTACCCAAAAGCACTTGTACTAAGATGCCTGACAGCTCCTTATTGCCTTACCCTGCTCTTCAGAAACCAGCACTGCCTACTTCCAGGATCTGTCTCTATTTTCTCTACTGGCAGTCTGCCATCAACTCACCCACATGAAGGTGATAGGGTTGACCCAACCTATTTTCCAACAGCAGCATCAGATACTACAAATAATTGCACTGAATGAATGAGTTAGAATTGCAATCCAGCAGGTATAATGGTACCTACGAAATAAAGAGTACTCAGAAATTCTAAGACCGTGGTCATGGTATATGGGCAAATAATGAATGCATGGAAACAAACTAACAGACAAAGATAATCCTAATTAGTGTTAGCCCATATGTTTTTAACATGTATAACCACTGGGTTTCAGTTGTTACAAAGAATTTATTTTCAAAAAAAACAAGAAGAAAATGAAAGGTCAGCTCCAAAAGTAATGCCTCTTATTTTGTTATGTTAGCCCACAATGTCAGAGGCAGATGCTGATGGTATGGCAACAGAGGCTGAACCCTCCCACCAATATTCCATTACAGTTTGTTGCCATGTGACAAATGGCAGCAGAGAGGAAGTCTGAAAGAATGGTGTCTGACATGGAAGTGCATATGAAGCAAAGGCATATAACTGAGCCCTTCACATAGAAGTTGCACCCACTGACATTCGCTGATAATTGCTGAACATTTATGGAGACCAAACAGTGGATGTGAGCACAGTGAGGCAGTGGGTGCTGCTTTTCAGCAGCTGGCAACAGTGACATGAAAGACAAGCCACAACCCAGATGGCCATGCAGATTGTTAGGAGTGTTTATCATTGGCAAACATGCACAGTTAATTGTGGTGTGACTATGTCAAAAAAAACAGTGTTCTGTAGCTGAGAATTTGCTCTATCAAATAGTGTTATTGTGCTCTTTGTACTTGTTGCAGTTTCCATGGAAATAAGCAGAAAGATTTGCTTTCAGGGTGACCTATGCATTTACAATTACCTAATTATCACACTATCTCAAAGGCTAAATGAAAGACTAGATGAGGGAGAATGAAGAGATGAGGGACACAGGGAGGTGTCCCTGCCAATAGCAGGGGGCTGGAACTAGATGATCTTAAAGGCTCCTTCCAACCCAAGCCATTCTATGATTCTATGAAATTAAAATATTATTTTTACTCTCCTAAAAATTGTATGTTTTTTCATTTATTCTTTATTCTCCCTAAAACTTAAATTCCTGCCCCTTTGGTCTTATATTTCAAGAACAAAAAAAAAAAAAAAACCTACAAACGTATTAAGAAACTCAATCATATCAGTCAAATTAGCTAAGTCCTGGAGAAATCACTTGAGTTTTTCCTGCTAAAGACTGCCTGAGCTGACACTTTTACTGCATACACAGCACATTATCAAAGGAAGCATGCTCACCTCACAAAGAAGTGCAAGAGGCCACTGCACTCATCTTATGTAGCACTTAAACATTATTTAAACAGCCTGTGGAATGAATTAAACTATCCAGTTGCAAAGACCTGAGATTAATATTTGCTGAGAGACTGAAAAATTAACCCTAAGAGCTCATTGAACTCAACAGCAAAGCCATCAGTTACTTTCAGCAGTAGAAGATAGGGATTTAGCATATGGAAGTCGCAATCTTGCAGGAAGTTTCTGGGCCCTTGGAAAATATGATTGATAGCAACAATCAGATATGGAAACAGATGAGTTTTCATAGCTCCCTACCAATCCAGGATTCATTACAATTAATATGAAGTACATCACACATTTACTAGATAAGGGGATTTTTGCTAAACACTTTTTCTAATAAAATAGCATGGCAGCTCAAATATGAGGTTATCAACAAAACTGTATTTGAGAGGTCTTTTATATTTTTCTACATGTACAGATGATTCTCTCCATGAATGCAATACCTACCTTTAAATTAAATTCACCATAAGAAAATTTATTCCACATGGATAATACGTTTGCTACTAGGAAAACATTCTGTAGAATATCCTTTTTTTCTGCCAAAGTGAAATTTGATAGTTAGCTAACTTATTAGAAGAATTTTGTTTTGCATTATTACTGCCAGCACTTTGCTGGCAAAATCATCTTTCAAATGCACTGCCAAATGTGTTTGAACACTATGATGTTGGATGAAAATAATTCTATTCAGTATTTTTCCATATTTCATTTAGCTGTGTTTATTCAGTTTTCAGAAGTAGAGATGACTTTTAAAAAGTGCTTTTAGAAAAGTGCCATTTGCATGCCCTGTATCCCACAAGGCCTGGTCAATCGTGCTGTATTATTGCACACCATTGGGCTTAGCACAACTTCAGTTTTAAATTTGCAGTTCACCTTCAGAAGTTCGTTCTATTTCCAGTGTTGATGAATGTTCTCACGTTATTCTTCCAAATTCTTACTGTAAGCTTAGTGCAATTTTGTCAACGTAACAAAGTTTATCAAGTGATGCGAAAAGAAACAATACATGCACATAGTATCAGGAGGAATCCAATAATAACAATAATTATTAATTTCAACTGTTACAGAGAAGCAATTTCTCTTTTCAAATACTGAACAGCATTTAAATCCCAGATCTCTTTCATCTGTCAAAGCCCATAAATATGAAAAGCTTTCTCTATAAAGAAAAAAAGACCAAACAAACAGCATTAAAGAATATAAAGATGATTACAATTCTCTAGCAATTTTTATGAGACATTTTAGGAGACTGAGTAGGTACTAATACGATAACCATCACCACCATCACATGAACATACCCACACTGCTGCTGCCAGTTCCTTCATTTTCGTCGTGAAAGCCACGGCAAACCTAGTGAAATGGACAAAAATAGCTGGGATCTACTGCTTAAAGTGTTTAAACATAACAAACACAGAAGTATTTCAGAAAAAAAAAAAATATATATATATATATAAGAAGAATGGAAGCTTATAAAAATAATGATAGATGGAGAGACAGAAAGCAGGCTTTCTATTTTTACTTAACCAGAAAACATTGGTAAAAAAAAATGGTCTTTCTTCAGGCTTTAAGTGAATTTACAATTTAGAGCTCCCATGGAGTTAAAGTGATGATTTTCTTAAAATAGGGGGAAAAAAATGGGAACACCCTGTAGTTTATCTGGATTAATACACGCAGCTGCAATCTACACAAATCAACATGAATAAGCAAACAAGGGTGTACCTGAACAACTTCACGGGTAGGATTTTTTCACCTGGGAGAGAGAAGAAAACTGCCCCCGAGCCTACTTACACTTTTCCCTTATGTCTGCTTACCAGGGCTCATCCTGACACTTACTGGTGTGCCTTTGAGAAAAATTCAGCACACTTCCATCCCACACAACAGAAGAGTTATTTCAGAAACCATTTAAAAGCAGCATTGATATCTACAGTCCTCCTTTTTAGGCATCTCATTACAGAGAGATTTCAACCACAGAAGTCTGATATCTAAACTTACCAAAGAAACAAGTTACTCTAACTGGGAGCTTGATGTAATACCCAGAAGTCATATGAGATACTTTTATGGAGTCAGATTTAATAAAGAATCTTTGTTCATCCTGAACTTTAAGGCAACTTTTTAGATGTCATTAAATACAAACATGCTTTGACTGTTCTTAAATGGAGCTTCAGTCTTAACTGGAACCACAAATAGTTCATTCCTGAAGACTATCAGTCCTGTAGAATACATAGGTTTGAATGGCTCATTCATATCAGACATAATTTGTCTCTTTTACTAAATACTTTTTTTTCATCACTTTTAAAAACATTGAATATA